CGCCAGTTCTGGGCTTGATTGTTTCGAAGAAATGACTGGCGGGGTAAGTCAGGATGTGGCAGTGTTAAGTAATGGTTTACACGACTGATGGCCTCTTGGAGGTCGTGGGGAGGCTGCAAGAGGAGTGAACGGCGTAGTTCGGATGGTTCAATGTACTTAATGAAGTGGTAGACGACGGCGTCGTTGCAGTCGGCAGGGGAGATAGACGGGAACGCCGCCTTACAAAGGCAGTATAAGTCATCTGCGAAGTCCTTGGGCGATTCACCTACCAGTCTCCGTCGCGAGTACATGCGGTCTAACGCCTCTCGCTTAGATATGGAGGGTTTCAGCAGGTTTTCCAACTCGCTGTATAGTTGGGCCAGTGGGGTTTCCTCGGATAACCCGGCGTCTAGTGCCTTATCCAGTTGGGTGGCCGTTAGACTCTGTAAGATGGCCATACTTTGGTCTTGGGGGGAACCAATCCAACATGGAATCGAGATCGCCGGAGCCAAGCGGAAAAGTCTTCCTTCTCATCGTAAGCAGTTAGCTTCAAGGGCAGTGTGGTGTATGAGGAATTGTTGGCACGGATGTGCGGAGCGGAGCTCGAGGGCACCGCTGCCACCAATGTAATGGGCGGTCCGTCTGGCTGTCCTGTCGGGGAGACCGGCCCTGAATTAACGTTCTTTGTCGTAATAGAATCACATAAAACGGGGTTTGGTCCGGGTTGGCTTGTCGGTTCAGTTTTGGATTTTGGCATCGTACGGCAGGCAATACTTCAGACAAACGAGTGTAACGGAGACAACTAAGATAGTTGATATATAAATGTATTGAATGAGTGGAGACGGAGAGGAAAAACGAAGAGCGTCAGTGAGCGTATACGAATCGGAAAACAGGAGGGGAAGGAAAGAATATTCGCAGACTAATGCTGGTCCAAGGGAGGTTCTCTAACAATATAATCCCGGTCGCTGGCTGGTTGAAGCACGGGGAGTGTAGAGCTGGAGGCTGCTACAGGGGTTGGGGTGCGGACTCCTTCAGTAGATCCTGCAGGCACAAAAAAAACACACACACTACTCCCTTTCGGAAACAGGCCACTTTAATAAAACAAAAAGAAAAACGGTCAGTTCACTCCTGCCGTATCACAGTTCAGCGTCAGTAAGTGCGCCATGCTTCGCCCAGGCAATCTAAAAGGAGCCGTTGACTTCTAAAGAATGCAGCCTAATAAGACATGGAAGCCTAAAGGGAGCTCATTGTGATGAGGAGAAACTCCTGAAACTGTCTACTCATTGTGTGTGAGTGACATAATGTCAGTACGCGTGTTGTATGCCAACAAACTGACCATTTTAAATTTTGATAAAAAACCTCTCTCAGAGTTTGCAGACAGCCTGCGGTACAAGGCCAAACCAGTAAAGAAAGAGGACACCGCAAAGTTTATGCGTCAAAACCCCTTGCCTTATGTAATCTGTCTAACGAACCCTTATCTCCTTCATTTGATTTATAGGCAAAGCCATGAGAGCCCCACAAGAAATTCACATTGTAAAGGGATTGGATTACGTCCGGCATTCGGCGCGTTTTGTGAAGTTTCCACGGTGCCCATTTTTCGAGGTGACGCAGCAAAACTAGGTAGTTAAAAGTCAAGACTAAATATGCAGTAGTTCCCTTGCTCTGTTGAGTTTTTCAAACTACGGAAGGCCTGCCAACGAAAGCTTCGAAGGGAACCATAAAGGATTTATGTTCCAAAATTGGACGCAGTAGTTAAAGATTCAAATTTACCCTTGGAACCTAGGCCAAAATTTTCATTTTTTCTGATCCCTCCGAATTATGTTGGTCTACGCGCTTTCCCTTTACACTGAATCAAATTTTACATAGCATACAGAGAACTCAAACATCCACATTTTTTTCCCCTCCATAAACCGATATTAGCTGAATCCTTCGATTATTTCGACAGAGCGTTACTAAAGAAGAAGATCAAAAACCCAAATATTAAGACGTTGAGAGGCGTAAAGATTTCAGGTTGATATCAAGCGCACTCTCCCCGTTTTCCTGTTTCGAGCAATGCATCTGTTTAGTTCAGTTCAGTTCAGTTCAGTTTATTGAGGGAAATAGGCGTAAGCCTTTGAGTACCCTATTCGCAACATAAAAAATGTGTGATGTACAGATAGATGTTCTGGGCTGAAATAGTTCGAACACGCCCATAATGGTGGGTCAAAATGAGAAGGAGGTACAGGGGGTGAGCTCGACTTCTCATTGCTCTTGGTCATTTTGGAACATAAATATGTCCAGATTCTTTTTAAAACTTTGTATAGATGGTGACATCACAACATCTGCGGGAAGCTCATTCCATGGTTTGACCACCCGGACCGAGAAGGAGAACTTCCGCACATCCAGCCGTGCCTGCTGAGTGCGCAGTTTTAACGGGTGACCTCGGAGGTTGGCCGTGGTAGCTAGTTCAAAAAGTCCTCGAAGGCCAGACTGCAATCCAAACCCTTTACAATGCGGAAGACTTGCAAGAGATCTCCGCGAAGTTGCCTGTAACTCAAAGGAAAGAGGTTCAGATTTACTAGGCGAGTTGCATAAGGAAAGGAGCTTTGACACCTAACCATCTTCGTGGCTCTCCTCTGGACTCTTTCGAGGCAGTTTTGATCCACAACAGCCCACGGCCTCCAAGCTTGTATGCCGTACTCTAAATGCGGCCGGACGAATGTTCCGAATGTCTTAGAGAAAGCTTCTTCGTCAAAGTCCATAAACGCACGCTTGATGGCGTACAGTACGGACATTGCGCTTTTTGCCACCCTCGAACAGTGGGCGGATGGCTTTAGGGAACTCGTCGTAAGCACACTGAGGTCTTTTTGGGCTTCGACCACTTGTAGGGCTGCACCGCCCAAAAAGTAGCCTCTTGTGCTGGCGGATCTGGCTGTGTTGCGTAGGCGAAGTTTGCTACATTTGGCAACGTTGAACCGCAGGAGCCAACGGTTTGACCACTCCTAGAACCGATTCAGGTTCATCTGCAGTCTGTCTTCATCGGCAAGACCCCGAATTACACTCCATACCTCCATGTCATCCGCAAAAATTGCTACTTCACAGTCTAAATCTCTTGCGGCATCGTCCACGTAGATAAGGAACAAAATGGGTCCGACAAAATGGTCGACACAGTGTACACAATGTGCAGTTCGCATGCACTGCGAAATGTTTGACAAAGTGGCTACAGGTTCAATTATCCAGAAAGTCCAATTATTGGGCGCCTTTTCATCTCCGTTAACAAGGTTTGATAACGAACCAGACACCGACTTCTCTGCGGATCCAGTGTGTCGTGAGATTATAGGACGTACTAGGGCATATTCGGCCTCACAGCAAACGTCATACACCAGGCACTAAAACAGATACACCAGAGAGTTTTATTCACATCATTCTTGTGATTTTTTTGTAGAATATACCCAAGCCTTTTATTTTGTTTTAGTGGGCTGGCGCTGTTTATTCATTGACCTATCAGCAACGCACAGTAAATTGTGCCGCGGTTTGTTCCGCGGGGCCTCGCTGCCTTTGATCTTGGCGCATCATACTACTCGCTACTTTGCGAATCATAGTCGTGCGGGGTACGTCGATTGTAGGCCAACGTTGCGTAATCCAAGAGATCCGTTTTCTACGCCAACGCCACAGAAAGGCACGCTCAACTATCTGTTTCTGCATAGCATTA